CCCCCAATTCCCTCAACTGTTTTATGCAGGCTTCTCATCATCCTCTTTGCTGCCTGTGGGGATGCTCATGCGTGCCTAGAAATGCAGAGCTCAAGTGGACACAGAAACCTTCAAGCTTGAGCCCTGGCAGTACATTATGTCTTTAGTAATTCTTTCTTCTTTTTTTTTTTTTTTTTTTGACAAGCAGTAAGAGAAGAGGCATCTCAGTTGTTGTCCTCAATATGGATTTTTATGACCTACTGCCTTAAATATATTTCCACATATTGCATATAGGCCTGAGAAGTCTTGTCTTCATATCTGAAGATGCTCCCACCTGTGCTCAGCAAAATAAATACCTAAAAGCAGTGAATGCTTTTCTTGAACTTTATCATCTCCTTGAGTGCAATCCCAGCTTGCTGGGGGTTTCTCCCAATGTACCACAGTATCAGATCTCTGCAGGGACTCACACAAGTCTTAGGCTTGCCTTTGTGTCACTGCTCCTAAATAGAGCAGTTTTAAGGACCATTTTGACACCTGTACCATGACCATACAACATGAGCCTTTTTCTCCATGCATTTCCTGGGAGTGAAAACCTGATAGGAAAACAAGGAGCCATTTTTTTCAGGGAGTGTGGGTTGGGAAGTGGAAGGTGAGGTGGTAGAAGGGTTGAGCTTAAGGTCAGGCAACCTGATGGCATGTGAACACTTTCCTATTGTTTAATTTTTTTTTTTTAATGCTTCCTTCCTACTGCTAAGGTGACCCTTCATAGCATATATCAGAATATTCAAAGTCAACTTTTCTAGACCCAGAGAATCAACAGTCCAAATCCTAAAAAAAGGCCACAGAAAGTATGTGAAGAGCCCACTTAACCTTCTAAGATTTCATATAAACTTCGAATTTCCTGAATTTCCTGCTAAATATCAGATTTGATCCCATGTGTTCTTTTGATTCTCTGGTCTGATTCACTTCTAATTTTGAACTGTTATAACTTAATGTATTTCCAAATGATCCCTAACACAACAGTTTATTGAAAGAATGTATCCGTGTGTCAGTACAAACTGGATTTAGTTTCCTTGTTAGTTAATGCTGATTTAACAATTTAACATAACAGAAAAGTTCCCCGAGAGCCCTTGTATATGGTATTTAAATCCCAATGTGATGAGAGAAGCAGCAACCCCTTGTGTTGTCTGTAAGAGAATTCTGTGTATAGCAAAGAGCTGATGGGGAACCTTGTGCTTCCCCTCACAACTGCTCACTGACAGGAAAGACAAATCTGAGTGTCTCCCACACTGACCTTGGGTGGTATGTGTAAAACAGAAAACAAATAAACAGGGATCCCACCACAGGCCTCCTTCAATATTTACATTTTGTGGTCTCCAAACAATCCTGAACAATGACACCGTGTGCTCCCTGAAGGACTCATGAAATAGGTTATGTCTTTAATATTCTAAAGTGATTATGTATTTAATTAAGCAACAACAACTCTAGTGAGTTGTACCTGAACTGTTGTTACCTGGGTACTAGAACTGAATCTACTCCACACTGTCATTTTAACTGCTCTTACTGATTTAATTTTAAAGCCTAAATTCAGGAAATACAAGGTAAGATGACACCTAACCCTTATATAGCTTATGGTTTCTGTTCACTATCAAGTAAAGGTTGATCCATTTGAAAACAATTTTGCTCCTGATTTTTGCTTGGTCTTCATTTATATGGGTATCAAACTTGAACAGACCTGGCCTGTGTTTGTAAGCAAGCGAGGAGGGATGTAACAGAAAGGTAGAGCAGCCACGATGGTGCTTTCCAAAAGCTACTCAGGACACAAAATTTGAAGAATAGCAACCGTGCTGTAGCTCAGCCCTTATCCAGGGTCTATTTCTGTGAATGGGAGGGAACACAGGCAGTTTGGGGTCAGTTCCAGGACCTGCCCTCTGTCTGTGAACTCGGACTAGACAATCTGCTGAGGACAACTGACCACCAGGGAGAGCTGAGGGCAGGGGGCAGCGTGGGCTGGGACACATTAAGCCCCTCTCTGTGCCTCTGCTGCTTGTGCCTTCTTCCCTTAGCAGTGAGAAGCCCTCTGTTTCTTCTCCAAGCTTGCACTTCCCTTCCCTGTTTCACTAAGTGATCCTGAAAGTCCTTTCCTGAGCCTCCTTGAGCTGGAACTGTAAAAATAAAGTGGAAAACTCTTCTCCTACCTGAGACAGGGATCCATGAAGTTCCTCTGCTGCTAAGATACTATCTCCTCTGAGCTACTCCTGTATTTTCTGCACTATGACCTGACCCAACTCACATCCATCAATCAGCAAATAAAGTCTAAGATTGAGAAGTAAAAAAAAAAGGTAGCTGAAATGTGATCCAGAAGTTTTGCTAGCTGGCAAATCAGCCTAAACTATCAATGAGAACAGAAAGGAAATCAGCATTTTGTATAATTTGTTAGTGTTAACATGTTCTGGGATTTAAATATTAATGCATAATACTGAATAACCTTTTTTTCCCCCTAAAACAACTGGAACTGATTGATTGCATTTATTTCTGAAAACACCGTGCCTCTACGTTTTAAGTCTGTGACTTCTGAAAGCTCGACTAGAATGGCACAAACAGGCTATGTGAAATACCCCATTGGTATGCAAAACTGCATCAGTCATCTGTACAGCAGCACAAGACTATGATAAAATGAAACGGTGAAACAAAGTGCCGAGGTGAACTTTGTCCACAGGGAAGCCTTTTTAAGTGATCCAATGTCAGCAAATTGCTTACTAATGTGTTGACTTATGGCAACCCTCAAAAGTAAAATGAAAAGGCTGGAATTTACAGCATATCAATGAATCAGTTGATAAGCTTTTACTGGTTTAATATCCTCCTAGTTTTGGTGCTTGGAGCCACTTCAAGTTAGCAACAGAATGTTTACCATCTCGGTGTGATAAAGGAAGTCAAACGACTAAACAAATTCCAGGACCATTATACTGTTTGGTGAGATTTAAATTAAAATCGTTGGGAGAAATCATGTGGAGGGGGAAGGAAGAAACTAAAGTCAACTGCATCATTTCGCAATGACTTACCTCGCTTCCTAAACAATGGCAAGATTTTTAGCGGAGCTGGAGATAATGTAATGCACTTGAAAAGATTTAATTGCACCAATAAAAGACTATACCACAATTAAATGACATACGGAGTGACATTTATAGATAGGATCAAAGAAATTCACTGCCTAACATGCTGAAGCAACACCCTGCTCTCTGTGTATAGTAGTGCTAAAAAGTAGCCTACTTTGGTTTCAGTGACCTTTCTTATCTACTTTGATCTAGATTATTAAAAATTTTAATGACAGATGTAATAAGGGCTACTGTAGCACCCTGAAACAAGTAATATGTGTCCTTCCCAGTACTAATATTTCAGACCTTGTTTTTTATTTTGTGATATTTATTTAAGTGTATGAGACTTGACATTTAACCTTTGTGATCCTTCCAGAGGCGGCAGGGTTATTAAAAAATAAATTAGTTTTTTTCCCAATTGTGACCCCTTTTGGTTATGCTAATGTTTAGGGAGTGACATTTTAAAAGCACAGCACAATTTTGAAAAGCAAGTTTTATTTTAGGAAAGCTTTTTGACGTCTGGAAATGGATAGCTCCTTGTGAAAACTTTCTTTAGTGTTTTCATTAACCAACACTTAAAAGTGTAAGAGTGAATGGCAGGAAAACTCATCTCCTGTTGCCACTTGAAAGCCACTAAGAAAAATAAGTACATATCCTTTAATCACAACAAGTACTGAATTCATTTAGACCTGGCTAATTGTTATGAGAAGACTATAAATGTATTCTTAATAGAAGGTGAAAAAGTGGTACCTGTTTTGTTCCCTGCAAAATCCTGAAGTGTTGCATATGAAAATGATTTCCTACTACTATGGACTATATATGGAAACTATATTGAAAGAAGACCTACCCACGCCTTTTATAATTGAGTGATGAAGTGTGAGCAGTCTATCAAGCTTTTTCTCCCTAAATTAGGTACAAAAAACAGGGACCCTAAAAGCCAGCCCACCATAGGTAGCTTGGTAGGTTGCTGCTGTAGCCATCTGAAGTTTTGTGGCAGAAATTTTAACAGATGATACTTTAGGAACCTTCTTCAACTTCCCATTAGTGACACCCTGTTCATAGCTCAGCATGGTATGTTGGGCCCATGGAAAACTGGCAGCCTTTTTGGGAAAGAAGCATATGACTGCTTCCCTGGTCCTTCATGCAGAAAAATCTAAGTGTTGCTCTTGTCTGTTCTCATCACGCTTCTTGAGGACAGTCACGACCCACCAATGGATTCATTTATTCCAAACTTAAGTGCTTGAACAATTTTAAAGTAACATCAGCTTTTTTCAGTCACCCCCATATTCATTTGCTCTGCTACAGGGAAGGACTTTGCATTGATTCCAGAGGCAGCACAGCAACCAGCAGTCTGTCTCAGCCTTAAAGCTGAGAGCAGTGTTTCCTCTCCCTCCTGCCGCTGTCAGCCCACGAGCAGAGCAGCAGCACCAGTTTTGTTCCACCACTGTGCCAGGACACTTCTAGGGTACAATCTCACTGTCACAGAGAAACACGGAATATAGCAAGAGGGGGTCTGTACCTCCAAAGCTCTCTTTTTGCTCTCTGAGCAGACGTTAGAGAGGGGCAAAGCAATGGAATGGAGCTACCTGGTTCAGTGTTCAGTGAGAGAACGGTGACAGTGAAAGGAAGTAATGATTGTTTATGGATTTATTTGTTTCTCCCCTTACTGTACCCCCTTCATACAATTCTATAGGAAAATAGATCACTGAGATTTATCAAAAAGAGAAGGGAAAACAGAGAGCCTCACAAAAAGCCCAATATTGTTGGGCCTAATATTGCCAGGCAACTGGCAGGCCTTAAAATTAAATATTTAAATAATTTTCCTTCTAAGTGGAATGAACAGACTAACAAAAAAACTGAGTGACTCCTGTGCTGCCTGTTTGATATGAATAAGAAGAAATAAATGAACAAGAAGAGAGCTGATATTTAGGAGTTCTGATTTAAGGAAGGTGAATCACACAAAAGAAGCAGACCAAAGAAGCGAATGCAACATAACTTTTTCTCAAATAATTGCTTTCTTAGTTTACTATCCTTAGGAGGCACTGTTTCTCTCAAGTCTTTCTACGGTTTTCTAACAATATATCCCTCCAGAAAGCTTGAATTCCCTAAGATGAAATTTTGCTCAAGAGGAGGAGACTCGAGCTAATATACCTATTTGTATGAAACAATAATTTCATGCATTTTTTCAAACTTTAACTTTTGTAGTGCATTCATTCTGTCTATTAGCAAATATTTAAAACTTTTGGAATATTATTTAGAAACTGATACTGTCCAGTGACACACAGGTAGCAGAAGTAAGGCTTACCTAATAGCACACTTTATTTTAACCAAACATGCCACATCATGTATCACTCTGGTCTGATACTGCTCTTTTCTACACATAGGACAACTTTTTGCCTGTAAGTTTTCCAAAGGTTTTCAGGCATGCCTGAAAAAATAATTACAATTACTTATATTTAATCTCATTGGCACAGATTAAACAGGATAGATTACAGAATGTAAAAACAGTTTATTCATCAATCCATGAGCACTCTACAAGATGCATATTTTTAAAATTAAAGTGTTAAGAGAATTTTGTAAATCTCCATGTGTTTGCATGAAATTTCATGAATTAAAGTACTCCAGCTTAGTATATCCAGGTATAGCTCAGTTAGGAACTACACATACAGTTTTTAAAAAGGTAATAAAAAAGAATAAAGTGCTTCATCATAAAATAGCCTTAAATTATATTTCTTATCATAAAAATCTGGAATCAAAATTACTTTTCAAGATGATTACATTTAATTCATTAAGATATTCACTTAAGTGGTTTAATTAAAATACTCATCTATTATGTGCTTGAATAGTTATATGAAAATGTACTCACTTTATGGAGTACATGGGAGCATGAATGCAGCACCTGTTTTATCAAAGGAGAAAAATAACCCCAAGAACCAAACCTGACTTTAAAGCATTCTAAAAGCTGAAAAGTAAAAAATGCTGACAAGAAAAAATCTGGCTGCCTGAAAGGTCATCAGTTTCTGTCTGTTACTACTGCAATCTTTCCAGTGAAAATAAAATTAGTTTGTGAATCTGTGAATTTTGTATTAACAATGCATGGAGTGGCAGAAAGCAAGAAATGCCAAATGCTACTGACTGGAGGAAAGATTACAAAAGAAACACGTAAAATGAAAGCTGATTAATTTTTGTCCTTTTTCACAACAGAGATGTTAAATTTAGAGAAGTGGTACACATCAATTGCAGCATTTCACGCATACCAAAAAAACCCCAAAACAAAACCAAAAGAGAAACTCTGTTCACAGGCTACAGGAAAACTTCACCTTTATCTGACCTAAGTTCCCACCAAATGCTGATGATCTACATCCCGACAAAAGACATAGAGTTGGACAAAAAAGGCAGTTGGCTCTTAGAGGAAGGAAAAGCTGGGAAAGGAGTGAACAAGTAGTGAGCACTACTGAGCTGGCAAACACAAGAGGATTAATGGCCAGCAGCCAGCTGAAGGCAAAGCTTTCAGATACAGTGGCTTTTTCCCTTGAGGGAGGAAAGCTAACGAAACACCGAGGACAAAGAGAATTCCAGAGGCATTTCCCTTTTTTGTGCCAAATCTGAAGTAACCTTTTTAATGAGTGTTGTCTTTTGCTCTCTCTTGTCAAACTTCAGACTTTCAGGGTAGCCAAAAATTGGCAGAATGGTCTTTTGCCAGATCTGTCCTACCTGTCTTTGGACAGTCATACGTTTTCAGTTGATGTAAAAGGAAGCAGAACCTCTGCATCTAAGGTTATTGAAAGGCTTTGATTCACATCACAGACTTGGCTGTAAGAAGTCTTCTTGAAAAATTAAAAAGGAGAACAGGCAGAAAAAACTACCCTAAATATGCGCTGCAGAAAGAAACTTGCAAGCAGTTGGGATAATTCTTCTAATTGCCATCATCACCTCTCTGAAGCAGTACTCTCTTCAATCAGTCACTTGTCCCTTTTGCTTAATATTTTCAAGATGATAGATGAGAGAATGTAATAAAGCATGATGTATTTATGCTTATGTGTACACACATACACTGAACAAAGCCATCAAGGTAAAATGCAGGAATTTGATCAGGTAACCTAAGGAAGTGACTGACTGGTATTAAATCTACATCTATTTCCATGTTCCAAATAGAAATAACTATTGCACTGAACTGCAATTAATGAAACTTGTGAGAAAACAAAATATATCTTAGATTGTATAAATAGCGAGTGTTTAGCATTCTGATGAATGAAGGCCAGGATTGTATCTAACAGCAGTTTAAATGAAGCAGAAAATAGTCTATACCTGCTTTGAAAGAACAGATAAAAAGGCTGATTACCTTCTCTACTATCATAACTTAAGAAGTGAACAAGTACTACCAACCTTCCTCTGCCATGTCATGTCCAAAATAACATCAGACAAACCACTGACAGGCAACATACTTCTTCATAGTGAGTATCTAAAAGGGCTACAAAAGAGCTGGAAAGGGACTTTTTACAAGGGCATGGAGTGATAGACAAAGAGGTAATGGCTTCAAACTGATAGAGGGCAGGTTTGAACCAGATATTGGGAAGAAATTCTTCACTGTGAGGCCCTGGCACAGGTTGTCCAGAGAAGCTGTGGGTGCCCCATCCCTGAGCAGTGCTCAAGGCCGGGTTGGATGGGTCTTGGAGCAGCCTGATCTAGTAGAAAGTGTCCCTGCCCATGAGAGGGGGCTTGGAACTCCATGATCTTTAGGATCCCTTCCAACTCAAACCATTAATGAATTAACTATTCAGTAACTATCAGAACTTCTTTTACGTACAGGATTTGTACAGGATTTTTCTAATGTAAACTTTTATCTGTGAGTAATTTGGATTTATTTTGTTACCTTTTCAGAGCCATTAAACTGAGATTAACTGAACAATGTAACAATGCACAATAACATAATTTCAAATCATCAGTATAAACAAAATCTGTTAAAATTAATTTGTGAGGTTTTCTCCAGCATTGCATTCATGTGTTCTTAAAAAAAAAAATGAATGAAGTGGTATAATAAAAAACTGTTGCTGCTGAAAAATACTGAATTGTGATGAAACTGTAACATATTCAACAGAAATAAAGAGCACAAAGAAACAAAGATATTGTCACAAGATGCCAGGGATAGTGTCACTGTGATTGCTGAGTTTGTTGATCTTAAATGATAACCATGAGGTGCCTTGCTGTATGTTCATGTGAAATCTCTGCCTTCTTAAAGAAGGGATCAGTGAAAATACTTACAGTATTCCTGCCTATCCCCACAAAGTCCAGAGTCAGTATCCTAGTAGTAAAAAAATATGCTGGTATGTACAGCAATGTATAGATCTTTTCCATTTTTGAAGACCAGAAGAAGCAGCTTGTGTGGATTTACCAAAATCCATGGAGGAATGTCGAAGGCATGTTTAATAAGCCAATAACATGAGTCCATGATGAGGCCTCAATGGTATTTGACAAAACAAGAAAGGAAGAGGGATATACAATAATTACAATGAAAACTGATGGCACCTAGATGAGAGTTCTAGTTCTAAATGGGAAGGAAAGGGTAAGCTCTTTCATTCATACCAGAGTCTTTGCATAAATCTGACATTACTGTTCGAGACATATTTGTTCTGTATAAGCTTTCAAAACCCCATCAGGCAGCTTGTGTATCCAAACCCATTGTACTAGTTATGAAGGAAAAAGGAATTCTAGCAAACCAAAGAATGGGGTCTTGGTGATCCCCTCACTCAAGTAGCTCATTATTCTAGGACAGGATCTGTTAATTTTTGAGACATCCATCTACAGATGTATATCATTAATCATCTAAAATCTGCACAAACTGCCTTTGATCTTTTTAGAGAATTTTGTGAGGTGCTAAAGAAATTATAAGGAATACTTTCTTCCCTTTGGTTGAACTATGTGCCTACCCTACTTCCTTGTGAGGTCATGACATCCTTCAAACGTAAATCTGTTTGAATCCATGTCTTGGAACAACAGGATGGCTTTGAGATTTCAAGCTGGGTCAATTTATGCTTTCGGAACAACGCGAAGAGTGATTTCGCTGAATGTGGTTTTGCTCACATAGACCCCACATTGTTACTTTTGTTACCCTTGTAAAGGTATCGAGAAACAAGGTCCCATTTTGATAGTGCAATATGGACAAGCAATGATGAGAAAATCTGGATAGGGAGGGAGTGAACAAGAAGCAAAGCAGTCATAGCATGAAAGACAGTATCACAACATAAAAAGTGCCTGCCCTTGATTTCCTTCCAACTACAGTGGTCAGAGACTGTTTTTGTTTTAAGGAAGAAGATGAGATGGCTTTGTATATATCCCTGGGGTATAAAAAAAAAATGCTTATTTAAAATTTTCACATATGGATTATTGAAACTGAAAGGTATTTGTGGTAAAACCTAACTTCAAATTGATACAAACCAGCTGGGATATTTGTGAGGGACAGGTTATACAGGTGTTTGGAAGGAAAGATTTTATACTACATAGTTGGTGAAGGAAAACTGGCAGCAGGACACAAAAGAAGGGATGTGTGGTCAAAGCAAAAGGCTCTGTGAAGATATTCTCAAAGCACCATTTAAAAAAAATTAAGTAATGAAAACTTACATTTACCACAGCTAAAGACATTCAAGAATTTTCATCCTTATGCATCAAGTTTACAAACCCAACCCATCTATTGACACACCAATTTACATCAAAGTTATTTATCCTAATATGAAGATTATCAAAATGATTGCATGCATTAACTTTGAAACTATTATTATTTGATTTTCAGACTCAAGTGCCTATTGGAAAAAAAAGGAATTATAGAGGCCTGTGTGATTTTGTTTGATTACTCACAAACTCAAGAAGACAAAGGTATATTGAATTACATTTTCAAACTTGTTTCACATTTGCAAGTTTTAAACCACACAATTCTTATTAAGAAAGCTTGGCACAAGCATTTTAAAATAATGTGAGACTACAGGTGAAAATGTTAAAAAACAAAACCCGGAAACATTTTCCATTTAAAAAAATATTTTGGCACATTCTTTTGAATCACTCCCACAAATATTTATATGGAACATTTCAGTAAGTGCTGGGATTTAAAGAGAAAGTACTTCATCTTATAATCAGAGAACATGTTAACACTTGGGCTGCATTTTTTCACCACAAACTTTAGCTTCCATAATCACTCATTATCAATACTTTTGTTAACCCCAGTACCTCTTTGCTGTTTTCCCCTCTGTTATCCTCTCTTCAAAATGAACCAAAGAAAACCCTGCCCATCTTTAGAACTATAACCATGTAAACATAGTAATAATCAGCTTGTTCTACTACCATTGTCCTGTCACTTGTTACACTCACTTCTTTGTTATTTGAAGTTTCCCTCTTAACCTTCAGCTGATTCCAGAAGGCAGATGCCTGTGCTTGCAGGGAGAGTCACTGATTTACATGGTTCCCTTTAGAGCTGGGACTCTGCTACAGCAAAGGAAACGTGATCTTCAGAGAGGCCCGAGGCTGTTTCTATGAAAAAGAATAAATAAAACAACTATTAAGGACGATGAAAGTTCATTATGTTTAAAATTGAAAATTGTGGAGCCAAGTGACCCTGTAAGTAGTGCCTAATCAGGACAAGTGGAAGGATGGAGACAAGAAGACATTCATGGCAAAAATACTGTTGAAGCCTTTAGAAAAGGGAAATGCAAGACTGAAACTGAGAGATGGGAAGCACATTTGCTCTCCTGGTCTGTTAAGATGCTCCCTGGCTTTGTTTTTCTAAGAAATATCATCTGTTGCTGCTCCACAACTGTACTATTATAATACTATTTAAAAGTGAATTTTCTCACCAGGCATCATTCCAAGCCCTCACATCTGTGACTTTTATCTTGTTGAATGTTTGCTTCTAAACTGAAAAAGGTATTTAACTACAGGTGTTAATTCTTCCCTGTTTTAGCCCCAGGACCATTGTAAAAACAAACCTTTTTAACTTGGAGCAAAGGTGGGTAGATATTAATGAAGAATACATTTCATGCAGCACAAGTAAATGTTTTTTTTACAGAATAAGGAGTAAAACAGTTTCAAATAGGCTTAAAAAAATCTTAATGCTAAAATATTCCCCCAAATAAATACAGTATCAAAATCACTGCTGTTTCCTTGAGAATAAAAGGTAAAGAAAGTTATAACAGTCAATATACATTAAAAACACTTCTTGCTTCTTAATGAAGAATTTGTCTTCATGAAGATGCACTATCTTCCTTTTTACTTTCACTGTTACAAGCATAATATTTTAAAATACACTTCAGATATGAAAAGAAACATTCAAGCAACTGATGGCAATTTCATTGTTTACCTAATTGACTAAACTGCTGAATTTTGTCAAATTTTAAAACAGATATTATGCTGTTTAGCATTAGGTTATCCTACTGAACAGAAACTTTAGTGTCCTCATTTTAGTTTATTTTAAATAAAAAAAAAATTACAAATCAGAATGGTTTACCTAACTTTAGCTGTGGAGTACTGGGATCAAGAACATACTCCTTTTCTGCATCTTCCTTGGTTTTGTGGTGAGTGCTCTTTTTTCTTAGTCCAGTATCTACTATTCTTCTGTCCATTTCTTTGTTCACAGGTTTGTAAATGTTCTTGGTATCCCTTGTCCTTGACTTAAAATGTTCTGCTAATGAAAAATCCTGGAGCTGATGAGTGTGTATTATATGATCCTGCAGACAAACTGCAGAAACTGTATCATCTTTCTTTTGGAGGAGCAGCCCTAAAAAAGCAAGAACTCCCAACCAATCTTGAATAGTTATTGCTGTAAATTATTTAAACCTGTACATATTACACTAAAATAAAAGAAACTTCACTCTTAGCCAATATTTTTGACTTGTCAAAGGCTTTTATACACAACTCCAGTACTTGAAACCTAACGTACAATTACCATAATGTGAAATTTAAGATTGATGTTTCTGACACATCCTAGTTTTAACTTATAAAAAGTCAAATGAAATCTTTGATTTATCATTTATATTAGATAAAATAGCAGTAATTTTTAAGTTTTAATTACTGAGCCTATAATTATTATATGCAATAAACCCATTAAGAACTATACAAGTTTGGCATGCCCAAACACACTTTAACTTCATATAATTAAAAACAATCCCAAAGGCTAACTTTGCCTTCCAGAATACTGAATATAAATAAGAATGAATTATTTTTATACAGTGAATGGGCTTATGTACCTAATCCTCCATTTCTCCCCACATTTATGCTTTATTTTAAGAGATGTGAAATCATACAGTGTAAAACCATGATGTTCCATTGATAACCTTTAGCTGATTTTACAGGAATAGTGTGGCTTTACAAACAGACACGTACAAGAATTTGAGTAATGTTTCTCAGCAGAAACAGCCTCATCAATAGCAGATGAGAAATTCACTAAAATTTCACTTGTTTTCTCCTAGGGCTCCCATGGGAGAGAACTTAACATCTGCTCCAGGCACAGAAGTGAACTTTGGATCCATAAACCATCGTGTCCCTGCCCTGTCAACCTCGTTTCACCCCCAGTCAACTGCCCAGATGGACACAGAATGGCTTCAGAATGAATGGGAGGAACCACAAATTTCAAGCTGAACTGAGGAAAAAATATAGCCACAGCAATAAATCCCACTGAACTGCTCTGCAAGATTAGTTTATTGTAGACAAGGAAACCTGTGACATTCAGAGCAAGGATGATGTTAGCAGCCCCTTCGGGGCTGGAGCTGCTCTGCTGTGATCTCAACATCCTCACTGGTACAGCTGGAGAATGTGGCTCAGTGGTGGAGTCTGGCAGAGGGTGAAGAGAGACCCTTTAACAGTGTCTGTAGCAAAGGAGAGCCACTGCTTACAATGCTGTTCTGTTTCACAGAATCAGAGGATGCTTTGGGTTGGAAGAAGCCTTAAAGATCATCTAATTCCAAACCTCCTGCCATGGTCAGGGACACAGCAGTAAGATGGGAGGCAGGCCCTGTAGTTTTCATAGATTTATAGAATATTTTAGGTTTGAAAAGGTTTCTAACATTGAGTCCAACCGTTACTGCCAAGTCCACCACTAACCTGTGTCCCTATATGCCACATCTACACATGTGTATGCCACATCTACACATTTTTTTAACACTTCTAGGAATGGTGATTCCATCACTTCCCTGAGCAGCCTGTTCCAATACTTGACAACCCTTTCAGTGAAGAAATTTCTCCCAATATCCAATCTAAACCTCCCCTGATGCTACTTGGAGCTCTTTCCTCTTATCCTACAGCTTGTTACTTGGGAGAAGTGAGTGACATTCACTTCACTACAACCTCCTTTTAGGTACTCACAGAGAGTGATAAGGCCCCCCCTTGAGCCTCTCCTTCTCCAGGCTAAACATCCCCAGCTCCCTCAGTCACTCCTCATAAGACCTGTGTTCCAAATCCTTCATCAGCTTCCTCACTGCCATTTTGGGTGACCTGTATTTTTGGCAACTCCATAACAGAGTCATCATTATAAAAAAAAATTCATCTATACAAAGAGAACATGGTGGTGAATTGTATGAGATGAATGGTGTCCATACAGATCACACAAAGAGTTTTGTCCCCTAATGTCCAATCTTCGCCCACCTCTGGAAAGCAGACAGCTGAGGGGGACAGTAAGACTTTGGTGCAGCATCAGCTCCTTCAGGGACTTCCCAGGCTTTAGAGCTTGGCTTCCTGAGCCAGAAACTATTCCCTTGTCTTTGATAAGCACTGACATGTTTCTTGCAGATCCAGAACCATTGAAGGTACCTCTAGCCCCCCAGCAGGAGTGTAGGTTTTCTCTGGCTATTTTCCTGGTTATTCTCACTTGATGGCCCTTTATTTCTGATGAGAACAGGCGTAGATGCTGTCTTAAGTCCAGGTGTGCTATTTATTTTTTTGGGTTTAAACAGTTGACAGAGTCCTTCTCAGCTGCCACGGACTTGAGAGATTTGTTTTCTTGTGGAACTGACATTTTCCAAGCAAAAGCAGTGAAGCTGTCCTGAGAGTAATCCTTCCAGCAGCATGTAAATGGAGTGATTAATCCATTGGATGCACTTCTCTGTAATTATAAGTAATTACTTTAAAGTCAAATCTGCAAATGAGAATACCTCTCTTTACTGTAGGGGATGATGTAAAAAGCAACTGAAGTGGCTATCTTTAAAATGACATTAAATCACTGATTGTTTCCAAAGGCAGGAATGAAAAGATAAAATAACGGTTTTTAAAGTGAACTTGCAAGTTAAGACTAACACTAAATTCAATTCAGTAAGATGATGAAGGGCTATTTTACAATATAAACTCCTAAAGATTTTTATCAATAAATTTAAATTAGGAAATAAAATAGAAAATTATTTTCTCCTGTCTAAAATTTAAATGGAAATATAAATGCTGTAATATTTGTAAAATTAAAGCCCCTGATGTGTAGAAAAATCATTAATATGTATCAATTAAATACAAAGATACTGAAAAATATCTCTCTTGCACCTATTTTGGTTTCACTGTTTTATGCCTGAACTTGGTTCAACATTCTTGTTTCTTTTCAGTGCTGAATTACTTTTTTTTTTTTTTAGGAATCTTTGACAGAATTTCCTAAAGTTGTTAATAAGCTTCTTTAAAATAATATTTGCCATTTCTTCTGTTTCTGTCATACCTCATTAAGGTGATCCTATACACATGTATGCTTAATTAAGGCTTTTTGTTAAAATAAGCCTTTAATCCAGAGGTGCTGGGCTTTAATTGAAACTCAGAGAAGATTAGTGTAGTCTCTTATTTTGCTTTTCACTTTTACTGTACTTCCTACTGCTTCTAAACTAAAATGTCTCTATTAGCCTTAGAAGAAACATGGTCAGGAAGAAATTAAAATTCATACTACAGTCTTCTGGAGAGTAACATGCCATAGTAATTGCTCTTTCTTATTAAGTGCCACCTTTTACCAAGAGCCTCCACTCAAAATGCAAAAGGTTGCTTTAAGCATTCCAGGGACATTAACATAATGAACACACTGCCTGTTTGGAAGGTGACTAATAAGTGACTAATGATACCTGGTTTTATCCATGTGTATAGTTTTGAAATCTTAATCATGTGTTTAAATAGTGCTGAAATGATGGAACTGTCTGGAATGATTGACTTTTACAGAATCCTTTTTTAAGAAGACTTAGAAACAATGAGAATTTTAGTCACAGAACAGCAGCATTCAGAGGAGGTACCATGGGTGTAGTAAGTTTTAAAGCCTTTTTGAAGGAGCAAAACATAGATTCAACAGCTTCTGGTCTTCCAGAACAAAATGCTCCAGCCAAAGAGCCAATCTGTTTTCTTGTTATAGAGCTGCAACAGGACATGGTATTGCTAATTAACAGAGGCAGGTGGCCTGCTGTCATCAATGGCAGGAGAGCAACTTTTCAGGAAGAGCTATTAAATTGTGTCTGTGGAATAAATCTGATACAGAAACAGTAATTCTAGTTCAAAGGTTTGAAGTGAACTTTTTAGCACAGCAACTGAAATGAGCTTCACTGATATTGTATCTTTATATTATGAAACTTACTGTCTGTAATATGTTTTTACACTTAGTCGTGTTTAGAGGACTGTAACAAAAATGTTAAAACACTTGAAAGGAATGCAGTACTTTTGTGTAGGCTACTTCAAATTGATCAGTGTTTGAATGGTGTTTTTTAAAAAGAATGTGTTATAAAAGTGTGTCTTGGCATAACAAGTAAAGCCTGTGTGGTAAATGAGCTTGATGAGCTCTGTACCTGTCTTAAACTTCTCCCTGAAAGGGTTGTTATGTAGTAGTTACAGTGATGTTGGGTTATGTCACTGCCTCCAAACCAGGCTCCAGGGACAGTGAATAGGATGGGTAAACCTTTGCACATGTAAACATACAGATTTTTTTTCCCCACTGGAAATCAGGACATTTATGCTACCAAAATTTTACAAGCCAGTTTTTCATCTGAGAATCAAGTGCACTGTTGTCATAAAGAATGAGAGCTGAATCTGAGTGCATTAACAAGGCATTCCAGTTTGAAATACTTCTGCTGACTGAGGAGGGCAGGTTTTGGCAAATCTGCACATGTGAGCCCTGCCTTTGACTCAGCAAGGAACACGGTGTCACAGAGCTTTGTAGTTGCCCTGTTAAAGGTTATTTTAAGAGAACTGAATCAGACGTCCTTAATTATCAAAGTACTGTGTCTGCTCTTTCTTCTCCGAGTTTGAAAATGTTCTACCTTGTTTACTATTTGTTCACATATATTCAGTGTTTATTTAGTTATTTGTAGGTGTACACAGGCATACTCTGTATTTTTCATTGTTGTGCTCTTTGTTTACTGTTTACATTTTCTGTGAACTTCTGTTAACTTCCAGGCACATTCTTCCAAGTCAGTAGGAAAGCTGCACAATTTTATTTTGTAAGAATAGTAGAGATGTTACTAGGTCTCATTTAAAGCCCTTTCAAGTTAGTAAAAAGGCTGTCATTTGTTCATAGTCAAATTAAAAATCTGTTCTGTTAAGTAAGTATTATTTCCTTCTCTGGGAGAAAAACTTTAAGGGGAAATTTGTATATATACATTTTTGGATCAAATTAGACTCCAAACTGAATGTGATTTCATATATGACCATTGATTTTTATTAGCATATGTCATAGTGAAATTTTTTTTACTCAATTTGTGCAAATGTAGTAAGGATTTACAGATATGAAGTGCCTTATATTTGTAGAAACTTTCAAATATTTTATAAGAATGCGTCAGC